CGTGTCAGGGACAACCGGTTTAACCATGTCAGGGACCTCGTAAACATTTGAGTTGCAAGGTCAACCAGGCCAGTTGGTGACAGGCGTCCGCCGGGGTCATATAGGCCGCAGGGAGCTCCCTCGGACTCCTTTTCGACGTGCCTGTCCTTAAGGTGTCGCTATGATGTCGAGCGTCATTTAGTCCTTGTGAGGTAGAACATGATGAATATGCTCGTATGCATGTTTTAGCCATGGTGTCGAGCATTTCGCCGTGTGAGATGTCTTCGTCGTGCTCGAGCTTTACATTTCGTGTAGAAGTCGGGGACAAGTTCGTCTTTTGAGAATAGATACGTGGCTGGTTGTATAACCATATGGCTGTTATTTTGGGGTGCCATCTGTTCACGGGGAGTCCAAAAGGCCCAAACTAATGATGACTTTTTGTGATACACCTCTTGGGGTGTGAACCACCTATAAAAAGGGGACCCCAGAATTTCATTTATTATTTCTCAAGTTTTCTTCTGCAATCTTCCTTGCCTACGCATGAATCCTCTCCTCTCAACTTCTCCTTAGAGTTCTTCAAGGCATTCTTATCCAAGTAAGTCATATCCTCCTAACAACATGTTTTCTTTAGAATTTTTATATTAAATGCTTAGTTTTCGTCTTGATTGGAAGAATCTTGGATGAACATTCTTGGGTTCTGCGATGAACATCCATGAATGTCCATTGAAGTTCATGGTAGATAGATGAACTTCATGATGTCGGGGTAATTTTCCCCGAATAATGGGGGTCGATTCGGGCACCTTGGTCGTTTGACTAAATGTCCCCCAATAGAAGCGTGGTTTGTTTTGGTGTGCAGTCGAGGGCTTGGGTCGAAGTCTGTTCGTCGACGGCTTCATCGCCCTTTCACTTGATTTGGGGTGGAATGGTGAATTTGATGATGTCAAATTCACTATTTTCCCCTGCTTTTCATGTATAATGGCACATCCAGTCGGGGAGGATGTCTTTCCCTTCATCCATGAAGATGAAGTCAACATCGAGGAGGACCCTTTGGCCTGGATCGCACCCGAGCCTAGAAATAAGAGGTCGTGCTTTTCGCACGATGCAAAAGACACGTTTAAATGTTCGGATGTTCGAGCTGAGGGAGACCCCGCCAACTGGATTCTCCAAATTCCTCATCACAACAGGAGGATATGCTCCACATGTCCAGGAAAGCGTTTCCCCATGTACGAATTTGCATTTAAAGAGGAGGGGATGCGTTTTCCCTTCAATGACTTTCAAGTGGGGGTTTTCCAGTGGATATAATTGGCACCCTCCCAACTTCACCCGAACGCGCTCGCGTTCATATTGGCGTTCGAGCTCGTCTGCCAATATCTACAAATAGGCGCTACACTTCCCCTCTTCTTCCATATCTTCCACTTACAAAGGAAGTCCATTGGAGGGGGGCAAGCATGGGTGTCTTTCAAATGGGAAACACTTTCAGCCTTATTTGGAGTTTGTTCGTCATTTCAAGGAGAGGTACTTTGTCGTGAAGCCTCTAACCGACACAGCCATAGATTCCCTATACAATCGCGTGGAATAGATGGATGATAGATGACCAGATTCCCAACTAGTCGCCAGATTTTCACTCGAATGGCAATGGAAACGTTTCGAGCAAAAGCCCGAATATTATGCTGTAAAGCCTGAGGACTTGGACGCCCAAGATAAGCTCTCCTATGAGAAGCTGGCGGCCTATGTTAAGAGTTTCTCCCCAGCGAGGTGTGTAGATGTGAACAACAACCTCCTCTTCGACGACAACATGGAATATCTCCTCGTTAATAGGTTTATCAACATGAAGGCTTTGCTCGAATGTTCTTCAGACGAGGAGGCCGTGAGGCTTTTAGGTAGGGGATGTGGCCGTGATCTTATTTGTGCTCGAAAGCTTTGAAAGCATGTCGGCACATGTGTTTTGTTCGCATGGTACATGTTTGATTTCTTCCCGGTTAAACCTCTTCATCCGTTCTCTAACTAGGTTCAAGTATTCGACGAGGTTGTTGTTCTTAGCCTGGTATCCCCCTTGTACTTGAGATGCGACGAATTAGGAGTATGTGAAAATTTGTATTTCTCGGGCACCCAAATCCTTGGCCAGCCTTAATTCCGCGAGAAGGGCCTCGTATTCTGCCTGATTGTTCGGTGTTGGAAAAGAAAGGGTGAGGGGAGTGTTCGACCACGACTCCTTCCTCATTCTCGAGAAGGATTCCCGCACCGCTCCCTGTCGAGCTGGAAACTCCATCCACGAAGATGGTGCACTTATGCTTCTTCCCTATTGGGGGATTATGAGCGGTTATCTCTGTGACAAAGTCGACCAACACTTGGGCTTTGAGGGCATTCCTGCTCTCGTATTGGATGTCGAACTTCGAGAGCTCCAAGGACCATTTTAGCATTCGACTGGCCATGTCTTGTCGGCATAGGAGCTGTCTTATGGGTTGGTCTATTCATACGATGGTCGTGTGTGCCAGGGAGTACGATGGTACCTTGTAGCGCTTTGCTCGTGAAATACACTGAATTTTTCCCGTCTGGAGTTTCACGAACGAGGGCCGCGCTTACGGCCTTGGTTGAAACAACCAGGTAGAGGAACAAGGTTTCCCTGTTCTCATACCGCAACAACACTGGTGATTTTGAGAGGCTTTGCTTGAGATGAATGAGGGCTTTCTCGCGTTCCTCGGTCCACCCAAAAGCTGCCTCTTTGTGAAGAAGTTTGAAAAATTGTAGAGTGTATTGCGTGGATTTTTCCACGAAACGGGAGAGCAAGGTGAGCATACCATTTAGGACTTGTATGGATTTCTTCGTGATAGGTGTAGGAAGCTCGGAGAATGCCCGACACTTGTCGGGGTTGGCTTCAATTCCCTATTCAGTCAGATAGAAATCGGGGAACTTGCCCTCCTTAACCCCGAAGGTGCATTTCTCGGGGTTAAATCTCATTTTGCATTGTCGCGCTTGGGCAAAGACTCTTCTGAGTTGGGCAGCGTGATCGATATCTATTCGGGATTTGACGATTATGTTGTCCATGTATACTTCGAGCATATCACATATCTCGTTACAGAAGACTTTGTTCATCATCCGCTGGTATATTGCCCCAACGTTTTTTAGACTAAAGGGCATCACGTTGTAGTAGTAGTTGCTCGAGCTGGTCATGAAAGAGGTGCAATGCTTGTCGCTTATTGCCACTGGGATTTGGTTATAGCTCGAGTAGGTGTCCATAAAAGATAAAATTTTATAGTCGGCCGAGTTGTAGACCAGTATGTTAATATTATGGTCGGTCCGCAATTCCTCGGGTCGCGGGCTTTATTGGTCGCTTCCCGCTCCTCGTAGTCCCTATAGGCCCTAGCTTTTTCGAGCAGAGCATCGAAAGTCTGGGGTGGTTCGATGCCAACGGCCTTCCTGAACTCAGTGGCTGGGAGGAGTCCTCTCTCGAGCAAATATCTTTTCATGTGATCGGTACACAGGACCTGAATGGCCTCATGGTTGAACTGATCAATGTACTCCCTGAGGGTTTCGTCGCTTCTTTAGACGATAGCCTTAAAGGCGGCCTCAGTCTTCGGATGTCGACGAGACGCTATGAACGATCTGATGAGCTGGTTCTTGAGGTTTCTCTAGGAGGTGATGGATCCTGGGGCGAGATTTTTGTACCAGCCCATTGCTGTTTTCCTCAAGGTCGTGAGGAACAATCAGCATTTGGTCAGTCCCCCGACGTTGTGATAGTGAAGCATTGCCTCGAACTCGTCGATATGGTCGACGGGGTCTGCGATTCTGTCATATTCCTTCAGTTGGGGAGGCTTCTCCATTCCCCTGGGAATGGGTGCTTCCATGATTGCTTGTGATAGGGGACCGCAGGGGTCGTCTTCGTCGCTCTTGTGGGGAGAGTGGGAAGGGGACTGGTTGTAATGGTGGTCGTAGTGATGGTATTGGCCTCGGGGAGAATCCCTTGGTTGAGGACGCGTTTCTCTATTGCCCTTATTTCTGTTTTCAGGGGATCGTCGTTCCCCGCACAGGGGTGAGGTCGCGTCTCCCGGTAGCTTCAAGCAGTGGTCTCTCCAAAGCGGGACGTCTCTCAATGCATCCGGAAGAGTGGCTTCGTGATGCATCTCGTCTGTGTCTCCGCAGGGGAGACTGAGGAAGATCTTAGTTTTGACAGGGAGGTGGAGTGTCAGGTCTTCTGTATCTTCTATGGGCTCGGCAAGAATCCTCGAGCACCCCTAACTGTTCACCTTGCGAGAAGATTAAATGATTTGTTTGGTTAATGGTCGCGAACAAAGCCCTGGTCATGGCGTCAACGCCCGCGGAGACGGGGACCTCCTGGAAAACGTTCGGCTCATAGTTCTAGGGCGGATGAGCATCCTCGTATGGCCGAGAGCGGGATGATAAAGGGGCAGTCACGCCGTCTCTGTATCTCTGCACGAGATCGGCCATGTCTATGTCGTTCCCATTGTTGTTGTTGCTGTTGCCCATGTTTTCAACGACGTTGTTGTTGGGGTCGACGAGATGGGCGTTTAGGTTGTTGTTTCGGCCATGACAATCACAAAGTTTGATGGTTGCTTTAGTCTTGGGTAAATGAAAGAAGGGGAAGCTTGGTTCCCACAGACAACGCCATTAATCGTATCTGACCAAAATGGATCGTCAAAGCCTACGAGTTGTGAGTTGAGAAGTAGTTGTAGATGAGATGAGAGATACTTGCAAGACACTCCGATACCAAAGTAAGGTTCAGAATGATGCAAGCAAATATGAGTGAGATAGAATCATTCAGAACCTCCGCCGAATCAGGTATTTATTAAAATTTAATATTTATTTTAATTATTTATAAAATAATATTTATGAATAGTTTTGTTTTTAGACTGACTGAATATAGTAATTAATCTCATAAAAGAAAAACAAAATAATCCATGAGTTAGAATTAAAAGTCAAGAAAAAGAAGCTAAAATTAAAGAAGAAGAAAAATCCTAAAAGAGGCTAAGTAATGAAGAAAGCATAGATGGACATTATATCATTCATTCAAAAGCCCATTGATTCTCTCTACGAAGTTCCGCCTCTTCTTCTGGAGTAAAGTCATTCTTAATGTTAAACATTGTTCGAATTTCCTCTGGTGTCTTCCCCTTTATCGTCTCCGCCACTTCCATGCAGGTAAGATCCAACAAGCTCTTTATATTCAAATAGTTTGCAGCTAATATGAGTTTGAAAAGCGTATCCTGTTCAACCTTCACGAACTCGGTATCCCACTTCTTAACATCATCGGAACTCGCTTCTCCATTCACATGCTTCTTACAGTATTCAATAACCTTTGCCAAAATGCTTCCTGTCAAGTTTGGAAGAGGGATTACACCCTCGGCGCAACCGTCTTCGATCATGTACTTGATCGTCTGCGATTCAAGAGCCACTGCCTCTTCTACTTCAAAGGTTTCGCCGTCGTGGCTCTTGAGAGTGATCATCTTCGTTGAACAAGACATTGTAATTCAATGAGAAAACCCTGTTGAAATAAAAACATTAAATGGGTTAGAAATAAATAATTGGGAATTAACTATGGAAGTAGGAAAGGCAATCGTTTTTTTAGTAGTTATGTAGCAATTATGTTTAATTTAATTTACTGTTTTAGAATTGTAATAGTTTTTTGTTTTGAGTCTACAAAAGACCAAGAGTGTGTAATTTATCAACAAGAGCAATATACAAGAAGTTAGAAAGTACACAAAGTCTGATTCTTATTTTATTTGATCAAATTGGCATCAGAGCTAATGGCGAATATGATGAACCAAATGCCGTTACCACGGCTAACGAAGTCCAACTATGAAAACTGGAGCATCCAAATGAAAGCTCTTCTTGGATCTCTAGATGCGTGGGAAGTGACCAATGATGGGTTTGAAGAACCAACAGAAGTTGGAGGATATACAGCAGCCCAAACGAAGGCGTTGAAGGAGTTGCGAGCGAAGGACAAAACAACACTATATATGTTGTTCCGGACTGTGGATGAATCAGGCTTTGAGAAGATTGCTAGTTCGACTACGTCGAAACAAGCGTGGGACACACTAGAGAGGGTGTTCAAAGGAGCAGACAGAGTGAAGCAGGTTCGACTCCAAACGCTTCGTGGCGAATTGGAGAGGATACAAATGAAGGATACAGAAAATGTATCAGATTACATCACCCGTGTGCAGAAAGTGGTAAATCAACTCACAAGAAATGGAGAAACAGTGGCTGATGCAAGAGTTGTTGAAAAGATCTTAAGATCTTTAACAGACAAATTCGAAAATCTGGTGTGTGCTATAGAAGAATCGAAGGATCTTTCGACGCTCTCAATCGAAGAGCTCACTGGTTCGCTCGAAGCACATGAACAAAGAAAGATGAAGAAGAAAGAAGAGGCAGACGAAGAAGCAAACCAAACAAAAGAATCGAAAGATGAAAAAGTACTCTTCTCGAACAACTTTCGAGGAAGAGGACGTGGACGTGGAGGACGTGACAGTGGTCGAAGTGGTAGAGGCAGTAACTTCGAAAGAGGAAATTCGAGCCAACAAAACTGGCGTGGCAGAGGACGTGGCCAAAGAGGTGGTCGTTCGAATTACTCAAATTTCGAATGCTACAAGTGTGGCAAGTATGGCCATTACGCGAAGGATTGCAATTCCTACAAATGTTACAACTGTGACAAAGTAGGACATCTTGCAAAAGACTGTCGAAATGAAAAGTAAACTGAAGAGACAACAAATCTGGCCCTGGAAGCAGAATCGAATGAAGGGTTCCTCCTGATGGCCCAAAACGAAATCAACACCAATGACAGTATTTGGTATCTTGACTCAGGAGCAAGTAATCACATGTGTGGTTACAAACACCTGTTTAAAGATATGAAGGGAGTTGAAGATGGCAGCGTGTCTTTTGGAGATGCATCGAAGGTGAAAGTTGAAGGAAAGGGCACAATCAGCTATTTGCAAAAGGATGGCTTGATTGGGTCAATCGAAGATGTCTATTATGTACCAGATCTTAAGACCAACATATTAAGTCTGGGACAGCTCACTGAAAAGGGTGCTTCGATCCTGATGAAAGATCGAACACTGCAGTTGAAGGATAAAGCAGGATATCTGATTGCTGCTGTCAAAATGGAGAGAAATCGAATGTACAAACTTAATTTGAGGAACATTCGAGAGAAATGTCTGCAGATCGAAGTACAAGACAAAGCGTCATTGTGGCACATGCGCTTTGGTCACCTACATCATGCTGGTCTGAAAAGGTTGGCGAAGAAGAACATGGTGCATGGATTGCCAAACATGGAGTTCGAAGGAAAATTCTGTGAAGAATGCGTGCTCAGCAAACAAACCAGAACATCATTTCAGAAGAAGGCAGAGTATCAAGCCAAACAGATACTCGAATTGATACACACTGATATCTGTGGGCCAATTACCCCAGAATCATTCAGTGGAAAAAGATACTTCATCTCCTTCATCGATGACTACTCAAGAAAAACCTGGGTCTATTTTCTGAAAGAAAAATCTGAAGCACTCGAAGTATTCAAGAAGTTCAAAGTGATGGTGGAAAAGGCAACAGATCGAAACATCAAAGCAATTCGATCAGACAGAGGAGGAGAGTATACTTCGATTGCCTTTGTAAAATACTGTGAAGAACAGGGGATAAGAAGATTCCTTACAGCGCCATATTCACCTCAGCAGAATGGTGTGGCTGAAAGGAAGAATCGAACTATCTTTGACATGGTTCGATCAATGCTTAAAAGCAAGAGTATGCTGAAAGAGTTCTGGGCAGAAGCAGTACAATGTGCTGTTTACATTCAGAATAGGTGTCCACATTCGAAGCTAGAAGACAAAACACCACAAGAAGCATGGAGTGGTCAGAAGCCAACAATCTCCCATCTCAAAGTATTTGGTAGCATAGCTTATGCGCATGTACCAGACCAACGAAGAACAAAGCTCGAAGACAAAAGCCAGAAGTTCATATTTATTGGATATGATGAGAAGACGAAAGGGTACAAGCTGTTCAACCCTATAAGCAAGAAAGTAATTGTAAGCAGAGACGTTCGAATGAATGAAGCCAGCAAGTGGGACTGGAACAGTTCGACAGAGGCTGTTGATACAGTCGAAGAAACCACTATAGCTGTACCAACTAGAATTTCAGAAGAACATGAAGAAACAGAAGAAAGAGATGAACCTCTACAACCTAAGATGAGAAGTTTGCAAGATCTGTATGAGTCAACAAGTGAGGTGCATCTTGTGTGTCTCCTGGCAGATGCTGAAAACATAAGTGTTGAAGAAGCATTAAGAGATGAAAAGTGGAAAAGCGCCATGGATCAAGAAATTAAAGCAATCGAACACAACAAAACCTGGGAGCTTGTCGAATTACCAAAAGAATGTCAACCCATTGGTGTAAAGTGGGTATTTAAGAAAAAGATGAACGCTCAAGGAGAGATCGAAAGATACAAGGCACGACTGGTTGCAAAGGGATACAAGCAGAAAGCTGGTATTGACTATGATGAAGTATTCGCGCCTGTCGCAAGAATGGAGACAATTCGACTACTCATCTCTCAAGCTGCTCAGTTCAAATGGAAAATATTTCAAATGGATGTCAAGACAGCATTTTTGAATGGTGTGCTCGAAGAAGAAATCTATGTGGAACAACCACTTGGATACATGAGAGCTGGAGAAGAGAAGAAGGTGCTGAAACTGAAGAAATCATTGTATGGGCTGAAGCAAGCACCTAGGGCATGGAACACACGCATAGACACATATTTTAAGGAGAGTGGATTCGAGCAATGCCCTTATGAGCCAGCGCTCTATGTGAAGAAAAATGGAAGTGATTTATTACTTGTGGCACTGTACGTTGATGATCTCATTTTTCTAGGCAATAACATTAAGATGATCGAAGACTTCAAAAACACCATGACAAGAGAATTCGAAATGACAGACTTAGGTCTGATGAGATTTTTCCTTGGCCTGGAAGTTCGACAGGAAGAAGATGGGATTTTCATATCACAAGAAAAGTATGCAAAGGAAATCCTAGAAAAGTATAAAATGAAGAATTGTAATCCAATTTCGACACCAATGGAGCCAGGCACAAAGCTGTCGAAGTTTGATGGAGGAGAACGGGTCGAAGGAAGCAAATATCGAAGCTTGGTAGGCAGCCTTCGATATCTCACATGCACAAGGCCAGATATTTCACTTAGTGTTGGCATAGTGAGCAGATTCATGGAGGAGCCAGTTCACACACACTGGAAAGCACTGAAACGAATTCTGAGATACATCCAAGGAACAGTATCACTTGGGATATTTTATTCAAAGACTGAAGACTACAAGCTAGTTGGATATTCTGACAGTGACTGGTGTGGAGACATTGATGATCGAAAGAGCACTGCAGGATACGTGTTTTTCATGGGAAACACAGCTTTCACTTGGCTATCGAAGAAGCAGCCAATAGTGACACTTTCAACGTGTGAAGCAGAATACGTGGCAGCATCTTGGTGCGTTTGCCATGCAGTGTGGCTCAGAAGATTGATAAGTAAGATGGAGCTGAAACTGGAAGGTCCAACAATAATACACGTGGACAACAAATCAGCTATTGAGCTGGCAAAGAACCCAGTCAATCATGAACGAAGCAAGCATATAGACGTTCGATTTCACTTCATACGTGAACATGTGAAAGAAGTAAGCGTGGAACTAAGGCATGTGGCAAGCAGAGATCAAGCAGCTGACATCCTTACAAAACCACTTGCAAGAGAAGTATTCGAAAGAGGCAGGAAGATGATTGGGATGCTGGATCGAAGAAGCATTTAATGTTTGAGGAGGAGTTTTGTTGAAATAAAAACATTAAATGGGTTAGAAATAAATAATTGGGAATTAACTATGGAAGTAGGAAAGGCAATCGTTTTTTTAGTAGTTATGTAGCAATTATGTTTAATTTAATTTACTGTTTTAGAATTGTAATAGTTTTTTGTTTTGAGTCTACAAAAGACCAAGAGTGTGTAATTTATCAACAAGAGCAATATACAAGAAGTTAGAAAGTACACAAAGTCTGATTCTTATTTTATTTGATCAAACCCTAACCCTAACCAGTTTCTTATATGTTGAAAAGGTGTGAAACTATGAAACTTTTTTCTCTTATTTATAGCCTATTTCCTCGTACATGCTACGTAGTATTTAAGAAGATTATATTATATATTCTGTTTAGATTTAATATTTAAAATTGTAGGATACTTACGGATATTCAGGAAATTCGGTTGCCTAACATGTAGATTTAAAATATACTTCAGATATAAAAATTTGATTGATTTCAAATATATTTTAAAACTATTTTAATGGATGTGGATTGGTAGCATTAGTTTTTTTTTCCTAACATATTTTATGATTTTGAGTTCAAAAATCAAATATTTTGGGCTTTAAAATTAAAAGTATATTCTACATATATTAATATTATCTATTTAAATATAACTAATTGTTTGAATTGATTGTTTCCTTGAGATGTT